GGTTTGTGGGTGAGTGGCCAGGGGCGCCCAGTGTAGCCCCGAGTCCAGGCATGGGCGTTCGTGTTCTGGGCCCCCAGGTCCCCCCGCCGGGCCCTGACTCCCCCGCCCCACAGGCGTCCACGTGTTTGGCCTGTGTGCCACGGCCTTGGTGACCGACGTCATCCAGCTGGCCACAGGCTACCACACGCCGTTCTTCCTGACGGTCTGCAAGCCCAACTACACGCTGCTGGGCACGTCCTGCGAGGCCAACCCCTACATCACGCAGGACATCTGCTCTGGCCAAGACGCCCACGCCATCCTGTCCGCCCGGTGAGCTGGCCCCAGCCCCCTCCCCACGGCCCTACGGGGAAACTGAGGCACACGGGCTGACCGAGGGGCCGCAGAGCAGGCGGGCTCACGTTGGCCGCCTCTTGCAGGAAGACCTTCCCGTCCCAGCACGCCACGCTGTCGGCCTTTGCTGCAGTCTACGTGTCGGTGAGTCCTGCCCCCCACCCCCGTCACGGCCACGCAGCTGGGACCTGGCCGCCCTGACCCACCTGCCCGTCCCCAGATGTACTTCAACTCAGTCATCTCGGATACCACGAAGCTGCTGAAGCCCATTCTGGTGTTCACCTTTGCCATCGCCGCGGGCATCTGTGGCCTCACCCAGATCACTCAGTACCGCAGCCACCCCGTGGACGTCTATGCCGGCTTCCTGATCGGTGCCGGCATCGCTGCCTACCTGGTGAGGGGGTCTGATGGGGCGGTCTGAGGGGCGAGACTGGCCTCCAAGAAGTCTGAAGGGGGAGGTTGACCCCCAAAGGGGAGGTCTGAGGGCGGAACCTACCCACAAAGGTGGACGGACTGAGGGGGATGCTGACCCGCTAGAAATCTGTGGGGAGGAAGCTGGGCCCAAAGAGGACATCTGATGGAGGGCGTGGTCCTGCCCCAACGTCTCTGAGTGTCCTGTTCCTTGGGGTGCTGAGTCAGTCAGCCGGCCCCGATGGCCAAATGTGCCGCGTGTAACCCCCTGAGGTGTGAGTTCACAGGAGGACGGTGGACTCCCTTAGGCCCTCCTCTGAGGGCCGGGCCTGCCTCTCTCAGAGCCCCTGGCAGAGCCTCTGCCCAGTGTGGACACTGGTCTGCCCAGTGTGAACACTGGTCTCTGGCTGCCCACCTCATGTCTAGCCACGTCTCACCCCCAGGCCTGCCATGCAGTGGGCAACTTCAAGGCGCCGCCCGCAGAGAAGCCAGCGGCCCAGGCGCCCAGCAAGGACGCGCTCCGGGCGCTGACCCAGAGAGGCCACGACTCCGTGTACCAGCAGAGCAAGTCTGCGAGCACCGACGAGCTCGGACCGCCCGGCCGGCTGGAGGGTGTGCCCCGGCCCGTGGCCCGGGACAAGGCCTCTCTGGGCAGCCTGAAGCGGGCCAGCGTGGACGTGGATCTGCTGGCGCCCCGCAGCCCCATGGGCAAGGAGAGCATGGTGACCTTCAGCCACACCCTGCCCCGGGTCAGCACACCCTCGCTCGACGACCCTGCCCGCCGCCACATGACCATCCACGTGCCCCTGGACGCCTCGCGCTCCAAGCAGCTCATCAACGAGTGGAAGCAGAAGTCCCTGGAGGGCCGCAGCCTGGGGCTGCCGGACGAGGCCAGCCCTGGGCACCTCCGGGCACCCTCCGAGCCCATGGCGGAGGAGGAGGAGGAGGAGGAGGACGAGGAGGAGGACGAGGAGGAGGAGGACGAGGAGGGAGAGGAGGGGGGTCCAGCCCCCCCCTCGCTCTATCCCACAGTCCAGGCTCGGCCAGGGCTGGGGCCTCGGGTCATCCTGCCGCCGCGGGCGGGGCCGCAGCCTCTGGTGCACATCCCCGAGGAGGGGGCCCAGGTGGGGGCCGGGCTGTCGCCCAAGAGCAGCGCGGCCGTGCGGGCCAAGTGGCTCATGATCGCCGAGAAGAGCGGGGCCGGCATGGCTGTGTCCGCTGCCTCCACGCAGCCCCGCCTGGCCAACCCGCCCAGATTGCTGCAGGTGATCGCCATGTCCAAGGGGCCGGGGCCCAAGGCCAGCGAAACCGCCTCCTCCTCGAGCGCCAGCTCCGACTCCTCGCAGTACAGGTCCCCCTCGGACCGCGACTCGGCCAGCATCGTCACCATCGACGCGCACGCGCCCCACCACCCCGTGGTCCACCTCTCGGCAGGGAACGGGCCCTGGGAGTGGAAGGTGGCGGGCAGTGGGGCCAAGGGGGCCGAGGGCGAGGGCGGGTGTGAGCTGGGGGACCTGGCCCGAGGTTTTCGCGGTGGCCCCAAGCCGCTGGGTGTGTCCCCAGGCTCGTCAGTCAGTGACATGGACCAGGAGGAGCCGCGGTTTGGGGCGGTGGCCACTGTCAACCTGGCCACAGGGGAGGGGCTGCCCTCGCTGGGCCCGGCGGACGGGACGCTGGGACCAGGCAGCCGGGAGTCCACGCTTCGGCGCCAAGTGGGTGGGCTGGCGCAGGGCGAGTGGGAGGCGCCGGGGGAGTCGGAGGCCGAGAGCTACTACCGCAAGATGCAGGCGGCGCGGAGGTTCAAGGACTGAGGGCCCAGAGGGTGGGAGGGAGGGGGATGGGGGATAATCTTTGTGGCACCTGTAAGCCATTCAGGGGACCCTGGCATGGGGGGTAGCATGGGGTACAGGCAGGTAGGGGTGGGCAGCATCTCATGATTGGACAATAAAAGGTCTATACTGGAATTTGGGCCGAGTCATTTGTCTGTGGACCCTTCCGGTGAAGGGCCCTGGGTCTCCAGTTAACTTTGGGCTTTAGGGGTCTGCGCTTGGGTGGGGTGGGCGCCTCTGGAAAAGGGGAAGCGGAGTGTGCGGCAAGGTTTAAACCGAGGCCCAGGAGCCTCCCCTGGTGGCGCAGCGGTTGAGTGCTGGGCTGCGAAACTGCCTCAGCCTCTGCAGCGCCGGTTCAATCCCCGGCCACCAGCAAGGGTCCCACATAGTGCTCAGACCTCTCCTGCCGCCCGCTGCTCCCCTCAGCAGTGTATTTCGTCAGTCTGCCTGTTCTGTTCCCCGCTCAGGCTCTGGTGAATTCTCTCACCCTTCCGTGCTTCTGACTGTACCCAGTGCTTGTATAAATAAATAAATAAATAAATCCTTAAAAAAAAAAAAATAAACAAACCGAGGCCCAGGAAAAAGCATAGGCCCAAAAGGGCCCAGGTCTCCCTGGTGGCACAAGGGGTAAAGCACACCACTGAAGCTATCAGCAGCCTCCACAGCAGACCTCTCCCATCTTGCCCGCTGCTCCCCCTCAGCAGCTTATTTCAGTAGATCCGCCTGTTCTGCTCCCCAGTCTCTGGTGAACCCTCTCACCCCATCATCTCTGGCCCATACCCCAGCTCTCGTATGCTTAAATCTAAGAAAAACCCCAAGGGGCTTCCCCGATGGCGAAAGGGGTCAAGCACAGAACTATGAAGCTGTCCGTGGGGAGCTACCCACACGGTACAGTGGGACCTCCCGTCTCCCCGCTGCACCCCCTCAGCAATGTACGTCAATCCACCTGTTCTGCCCCACTGTCTCTGGTGAACCCACTCACCCCCCACTCCTCTGGCCTGTACCCCAGTTCTTGTATGCATAAATAAATCTTAAAAAAGGGGGGGCCGAGTCAGCCCGGCACCCCACCCCCACCCAGGGCTACCCTGAAGCCCTCAGAAGTGAGAGTGAACAGTTGAATTCACATGTAAGAGGGAACAGCAGTGAAGACAAACAGGCCCAATAAAGCTGGAAATCAAGTGCAGGATACAGAGAATTTATTCAAAGTCCGAGTACAGACCGGCCAAACTGCCTTCCACACTGAACAGGAAAAAAGAGCCTATGGAAAAGGTAGGAGTTGTTATAAAATTACTTTAATTTGGTTCTCTTCCGAATTACAAGCCGTCGGGCGGGCGTGGATGTGCGAGCTCCACTTACAATACTGAGCCTGTAATCGCTGTTATCAAAATATACATCTGCATCACCATAAAAAACTTGTTTGCTGCCCCTCATGTCTTACAACAGGTATAAAAAATCATAAATATTTACACCCTTGTTACACCCCGACATGGAAACTTGGGGGTCCAGGTCCCAGGGAAGGGCTGGTTAGCACAGTCTGTGCAGGGAGCCCCTTGGCCCCATGAGCTCAGGCCCACACGTGGGAGAGTTAAGACGCGGCCCTTAGTCCCACTTTCTAGGGGCCCAGTATTAGAGGCAGACAGAGAAAAGAAAAAAAAAGAAAAAAAAAAAAGGAAACAGAACAAAACTTTGGTCCAAAATTTGTAGGAAATAAACCCTGAAAGTTGAAGAGTGCGTGTCCCCCTGGACAGAGGACAGGTTCAATGTAAGGCATCTGGAGGTCCCAGGTGGGGTGCCTGGCCCGCACCTTGGCGGAGGGCCGGCCGCTCCCCATCCGCCTGTCTGCCCTGGAAACTGGATCCTGCCGTGCTGACTTCATTACGAGGAATAAAATAAAGTACAGTATACAAGGCCATACCACAAGGAGGAAATTTAGATTACACTCATACCATTCTTACCTTGCTATAAAAGTTACTTAAAACTATTTTTTGCATATAAATGAAAAAGATTAGAATATTTGGTCAACTGGAGATATTGCTAGGCACGGGTGCTGCAGCTGCATCGCGGAGTACGGAGATTACAAGAGAACCAAGCTCCAAAGCTGAAGAAGCAACAGGGACGGTTGTGCCCGCTGGGTCTGGCCCGGGGCCGGGAGGGGAGAATCACACACTTGATTAACGGATTGAGGGTGTCGGCCTCCCGCCACAGACAGGCACATGATCCCACGTGGGAGGCCCATCCCCTCGGCCCCCAAACCCCTACGCGTTTGCTACCACGAGAAGCCCTGCCGGAGCAGTGGGTTTTAAGGCACAAGGAAGCCGAGTGGAGGTCTGGGAGAGCCCACCCCGCAGGCTCCAGAAGGCACGGGCGAGAGGGCCAGGGAGTGCAGGGCCAACTGTCCACATGTCACCAAGAGCCTGAGGCTGGCACCCATCTCCCCAAGGTGAGCAAGGTGAGTTAGATTTAATTTTTTTAAAAACAGGTAAACTGATTTCTCTTTAAAAAAATAAAATCTCTGGTCTTTTAAGGTCACTTCAGCTGCTTTTTAAAGTGGCTTTTTTCTGGAATGATGGAAGTGTCTCGGGTGCCGGCAGGCTGGTCCTGGCGGCCTAGATGGTGGACTTGGAGAAGGACACGCGCAGGTGGTGGTTCTCGCCCAGGTCGTGGTTGTGCAGGTCAATGAGGGCCTGGATGGCCTCCTCCACGGAGCCCATCTGAATCAACGCCATCTTGCGGTCCTTCCTGCGAGAGTGACAGAGGTGGGGGCGGGCCCTGGAGAAGGGCGGGGCCGGGCAGGGCGGCGAGGGGAGCAAGGGGGCTGTACTCACTGGAAGAACTTGAACCCTTTGACGATCCCACCGTTGCTGGAGAAGAGAACCTTGAGGTCCTCCTCAGATATGGAGGGCCTGCGGGGAGAGGAGGCCAGAGTTGCTGTCCGGTCTGTGGGAGTTGACGGCCACTCCCTCCAGAAGGGTTTGAGCAACCAGGTCCCGGGGAAAGGCTGAGAGTGACCTCATCTGTACTGTCGAACACCCCCCCCCTCCGTCTCCTTGCTAGAAAAGTCCCACACAAAGCAAGCTGGGCAAGACCGACAGGAAGCCTCCACCAAAGCCACAGGGCCCCGAGCAGGCAGCGCATACGGGATGTTGGAGAGGTGCAGGGTGGCCGAGGGCGGGAAGATGTTCTGGAAGTTCTTGGAGCCAGGCTTCTTGAAGCGGTGCAGGGGCGAGTTGCCGTAGTCCTTGGTGAGGCCCTGGTCCTCCTGGCCCTCTCGGGGGAGCTGCACGTTCTGGTGCTTGGACAGTGTGATGCGCACTGGCTTCCCATGCAGCTTGTGCCCATTGAGGTGGCTCATGGCTGGAGAGGGGAACACACGTTGACGAGAGGGCCCGCAGCACCTTCCCAGGGGTCCTCCGCCCCCGCAGACCACCCCACCTGCTTACCCAGCTGGGCCTGGCTGCCATCAGCCATTTGCACCAGGGCGTTCTCCTTCTTATTGAACAAGATCTTCACACGCTGCACGTCACCGTAAACGCCTTCAAAAGCGCAGGACAGGGGCACTGAGCCACCTGGGGGCCCGCTGCCGCCTCCCAGCCAGCCCCGAGACCCGCACACCCCTCACAAGGCTGGCTCTTCCTGAGGGTTTGCTCATTCTGCCTCTGGGACCTGCGTCTAGTCACAGGGGGCGTTACCAGGAGAGCGACCTTCAGCAAAGAAGTCATAAATCCAGGAAAGGTAAATGGCCAAAGAACCATTGCTTTACATGCTACCAACACGCTGAACTCTCCGAAAAGCATGCAGGGCGATAAACCATGCTTGACTAGGCTCAAAATAAAATTTGCAAACCGAAGGCAAACCATGTAAAATGAGGCAGAATGCCAAAGTACAAACTCATAGTACATCTCAGGGCGTTAAAATAACCGCAATTAAATGAAAACAAGGTAATAAAAGTGTGAATGATAACATACCGAAAAGAATAAAGAGGCTTTGGGGTGTGACTCTCTTTAGAGGACAGCAGAGCAAGGCAGCGGAGGGACAGGGAAAGGGAGAGGTCAGGGGGCGAGTTGCCAATCGTCCACCACGAGGAAGACAGCCCCCCGGCGTGCAGTGGTTGATGGATGATGAAGTTGTCAGGATGTTAATATTCAAGGGCAGGTTGGTTTCCGGAGAGCAGGGTTTGAGGGGGGATTTTGTTTTTATTTATTTATGGTTTTGTTTTGTTTCAAGCAACAACAGGAAGCAGAAGTACCGTGCAGTCAGTTGGCAAAGAAATTCCGGATCAGGGCAAGAAAAAAAAATTGGGAAAGGGGAAGGGGAGAAAAGAAAAAGTAGCAAAAAACACAGGTCAGTAAATACATAAGAAAATACGCAGTGTTCCATCAGTCAAGATCTAACAATCACAAGTTACAGGCCGCCTCTCGGAACACAGGCAGGAAAAGCACCTCCTCAGTGAGCAGGAGACAACAGCCCCGGGCCTCGCACCCCGCTGGGCTACGCACGGGAGCCCCCCGCCTCCGCCTGGGACCCCGGCCCGCCCCCCACATTGTCTCCTACTGACTGCCGCAGACGGGCTGGGACACCGATTACACAAGCAACGGGAGCCGAAATCTGTTAGTTCAGGGGCTCTGCTAGAATCTAAACTCAAGAGACAGCCAGGAGGGCGCCTCAGCCCAGAAGTCAGGAGGAACGAGACGAGGGAGAGAACAGTCTGCAAGGCTGAGTCAACGTTCATCCCATCTTTCAAGAGTTAAGTATTTTGAGCCTCCATCATCTCACCCAAGTTCTCTCCGGCCCAATGTGGTGGCAGAGACACAGGCAGGTTCCTTTCAGAAACCGCGACCCTGGTAGCGGGCTCAGGGGCACCCAGAGGGCCTTCTAGACCAAGATTTATTTGGCTCCCAACTTTAAGTTTGCTTTCTCGTGTCAAAAATATTTCAACTCTGAATACTACGGAATTGAGAATGTCAATCATGATGTTAGGAGACAGGAGACTGGAGCATGTGGGAGGGAGGTCACAGGAGGTGGTCAGCACAGAGTGGGGACCGCACCAGGACTCGGCACTGGGGGGAGCTGGGCCTGCTGACCACCTGCTGGAGGCGCTGCTCTTGTCTGCACTAAGTCCTGGGAGCACAGGGGGAGGCCGTGTACCTAAAGAACAGAACGTACCTCGGGGTTGAGATTGCTGACCAGCAGGACAGAATTTCCTGTCCCCGCCAGGCCTGGGATGGCGATCCTGCCCGCCGCTGCCGCCGCCGCCGCCGCCGATGGGATGGCCAGAGGGGCCAGGGCTCCGTGCACGTTAGGAACAGAGAGGCCTGGGGAGGAAGATGTAATTAGGCGGTGAGCAAGCCGGCTCTCCGCCGTGAGAGGAGCACATGCAGGAGACACGCAGGAGGCGCCGCTGGTCCTCCATCCTCTTTTCACGGCAGATGCCTGGGTTTGGACAGTCTACATGCGCCAAACACAAAAGCTCTGGCTCCTTGGTGCAGGCTCCAGCCCCCACGGGCGCGGCCGTGCGTGCATGCAGGTGCCCAGTCACCATGCGGATGACACGCCCGAGGAGGGGTGCAGCAGGCTCATGACCATCAGGCGGGTGGGCACCTGGCCCCCAGGAGGGACACTTGGGTGATGCCACCCTGGCTCATGCCACTCTGCTTACCAGGCCACTTATATCATCTACTAGGGACAGATCCCTCCAACCACTGTGTGCGCTCGTCCTCGCCCAGGGTGCTTGAAGGGAACCAGACCAGAGACTTTGGGGTCAGCGGGCTCTCTGGCCCTGTCCTGACTGCCCTGTCTAGGCCTCCTTGGGGAATGGAGGCCCGCACCCAGGAAGGTGGGCACCCCTGTGCTGCGCCCACACCGCTGCCCATGGAAGCAGAGCTACTGGAAAGGTGTGGGCATGCACATTGCCATGGGGACAAGGTCAAGTGTTTGAATACCTGCAGCTTGAGGAATTGCAAAGGTGGGAGGGAAACCAGCTCCTGCATACGGAGAGGCTGACATTATACCAGGCGCACCTAGAAATAAATGAGACACTAATCATCGCACCCAAGACCGTCTCCTCGGGCAAGAGCTGGGTGGGGGCCAACCCCAGACCCGACGGGTGGGCTCTGCCCGGGTATCTCCTCCCGTCCTGGGCACACTGGGCCAGTGCTGTGCTGACCATGGGCTGTGGCTTTCTCTGGTAAAAACAAGCACCAACCTCCCTGGGTGCAGGGCCAGTGTCTCAGGATTCTGAGCCCTGGGAACTGAGACTGAGCTACATCCTCACCTCCCGCGCACACAGTGGCGGGCCCTCACGCCATCTTACCAAAGGCTGCGGCCATAGTCTGGTCCAGTGAGGGCTGGCTGTCCCCAGATGGCAAGTCTGGACGTGTATAGTCACGACTCTTATCATTGTTATACTTGACATTGAGGCTGGTGAGCTTGGAGAAGTCAATGCGGAGAGTGCAGCAGGCATTGTAGATGTTCTGCCCATCCAGAGACTGTGGGGAAGAGGACTGTGAGCCATCGGGAGCCTGCAGGCTGGGTGGGCAGATGGGCACTGGGGACCACTCACCAGCTTGGCATGTTGGGCGCTCACAGGGTCAGCATACTGCAGCAATGCCTGGAACTGGTTGTTCTTGGTGAAAGTGATGATTTTTAAAACTGTGCCAAACTTAGAAAAGATCTGCAGAGAAAGCAGGCAGTCAGACCCTGTGCTATGATCTAAGCCCCCTACCTGGCACACAGGATCCTGGACTGGGCAAATCTCACCTGGTGCAGCACATCCAGGGTCACCGGGTAGAAAAGGTTCTCCACGATGATCCTGAGCACCGGGCTCTGGCCAGCCATCGCCATCCCAGCGTCCACTGCAGCAGCGGAGGCAGCCAGGGCCAGGTTTCCAGACTGGACTGAGTTCACGGCCTGCAGGGCTGCCTGGGCTCGCTGTGGGGGGAAGGAGGGCAAATCAATGAGCCCCGAGGCCACAGGCCCATGACAGGCCCCACGCTGCCCACCTGCGGGACCACGAACCGCCTGGTTGGGGGAGCTGTCCGTCTTGAGCTCCTTGTGGTTGGAGAACTGGATGTAAATGGGCTGGCCACGCAGCACGGGCGTCACAGACGTGTAGTAGTTCACCATGGTGTTGGCCGCCTCCTCCGTGTTCATCTCGATGAAGGCCTACAGGAGCCGGGCATGAGTCAGGCCCAGACCTCAGAGAAGTCGCGGAGCCCAGGGGGACGCTGCGTAGGTCATACCTGGTTCTTTCCTTTCAGCATCAGGAGGTTGGTGACTTTCCCGAAGGGCAGTCCCAGAGAGATAACCTCGCCCTCGGTGACGTCGCTGGGGAGCTTCCGGATATGGATCACTCTGGAGGGCACGCCGGCACTTCTGTTGTCACCTTTGAACTTCTTGCTGTCATTTCCATTTGCTGAAAAGTGTTGTGGATTTGTATGACACAAAGCAGCTCCCAGACAAGAGACTGCGCCTCCTCAGAACAAGGTTTGGTCTGTCCTTCATGGGGGGGGGGGCTTGACCAGGCCAGAACCTCCAGTCAGTCTGTCTCTGCCACCCCTCAGGCTCCCAGGAAGCACAGGTGCCTGTGAACCTGGACTCCAGGTACAAGCTGCCAAGCCAGTCACCCCAGAGCCCTGTGTACATAAAGCCCCTGGACAGAGGAAACGCTGCCTTGCGGGGCACTGGTGGGCTATGGTGGAAGTTACCTGCGGAAGCCGAGTTGCTGCTCATGATAAAGGGTCCGTTAGTTACACAGGTAGAGAAAAGCTCGTCAGATCCCCGCTGGAAGAAAGGAGACAGAGCTGAAGCCAGAGTGGAGGTAGAACAAACCAGACACTCCCCAAAGCCCTAGGTAATCACTGCAGCCTGCTTCTGCCACCACACCTACCTGAAGCCACCCCTCCCTGATCCTGACCAAAGACACTGCCTTTCCAAACCTGTGAACCCCACTTCTCCCAAGGTAGGGCTTGGAGGGAGGGGCAGGGGCTGCAGGCACTGCACAACACGCCCATTTCCACACTCGGCCTTCTCTTGTTTTATAGCTGCCCTAACAGAAAGAAGCCCATGGCCATGTGCCATCAGCCACTGAGGCTGAGCCCCCCGCACCCCACTCCGCCCTGGGAGCACAGTTGTAGCCCTGCCCAGACCTCCAGGGTGCTTTCAAAGACGGTAGCATGGTCTCGGCCCCACCAGGAACAAAGCCCCCTTGTCATGCTGCAGTCATTCACTCAACTAGAGTGTCTTCTTTTCCAGTCGTTCAAGGAAACCCGAACCTCGGCCTCGGCCCACTTTCAGTGGCAAGAAACACTAGCTTTTTCTGAGTGGGCAGTGTTGTTCAGCAAGGAGGGAGGAGTGAGAGCAGGTCTCAGGGATGTGGCAGAGCTGCCCATCTGCGGGGGGCACTCTGGGATTAACTGGTCTGCGTTCTTTCGAAAAACAATTTATTTACTCATTACTCTCGCAGTAATTGAATCAACTCCCTAGAATCACAACCCGTTGAACCTGGGCTGAGACAGTGGCCATCCCTCCTGCTGGGTGAGATTCCACTGGGCAAACTACTTTATTCGGGGGAGAAACCGGATAGCTATGAGGGCCCATGGTCCTCAGTCACACGCCACTCAGGTTCAAGGGCCTGGACATATTGCTCATAGCCCACCCCGCTGGCTGCAGAATGCCCAGTCATGCTGGGTGCCAACACCAGGAGTGGTGCAAGACTTGTGCCAAGAAAGGGGCCAGGGGGCCTCCCCTGGTGGCACAGCAGTTGAGCGCTGGGCTGAGAAGCTGCCCGTAGCCTCTGCAGCGCCGGCTCGATCCCCAGCTGCCAGCGAGGGTCCCACATGGCGTGCAGACTTCTCCTGCCGCCCGCTGCTCCCCTCGGCAGTGTACTTCGTCAGTCTGCCTGTTCTGTTCCCCATCTGGCTCTGGTGAATTCTCTCACCCTCCCGAGCTTCTGACTGTACTCAGTGCTTGTATAAATAAATCTTTAAAAAAAAAAAAAGGGGGCCAGGGCCTCCCAGGGCCCTCCCTAACTGGCTGGCTGGCCTGCCTCTGGCATCAGGAAGGACCACCATTAGTGTCACTTTCGTGACCAGTCCAACTGATGGAGGCACTTGGGGCTCCCTGACTGGGGCCACTGCTGTGGCCATGTTACCACACCCACGGTCCAGCTCTATCTGCTAAAGCCCATGGGCCAAAGCTGTGCTGGGATATGCAGAGGGAAGGCAGGGCACCAGGGGGGAAGCTGCAAAGAGTAAGGCTAAATTCAGACCCTGACAAAGGTGTTTTACAGCTCTGAGGAAGAGAGCACACTGCTTGGAAGATTAGGAACTGATACAAATTAAGCAAAATGTTAAAAATCTTTCATGCAGACCCTGCCCTGTGGAAACTGAGTTCACTTTCCAAAGAAAACTCCCTACCCAGCTATCTGAGGTCCCTTCACCAGTGGAGGCCACGGCCCTGGTTAGACCCAAACAAAGGGTGAATCACATGTAGGACATGAGCCCTAGAACCTTCCACTGACAAAGGTGGGCAACGCCCACCTGCCCACACCACAGAAAGCCCCTTTCTGACTCCTGGCCCCAATCATGGTCTATGGTGGATGGCCTGGGACTCCCCACCCCCAGCACAAGGTAGCCCAGGAATAGTGGGCTACCAAACACTCTGTAGGGCAGAGTGGGGGGAGGGGGGCCACACATGTGCTGAGGTCAGGTGCCGAGGTCTCCTGCGGGTTCTGAGATGGGCAGTTTACACCAGGCGGGGTGGCGCAGCATCAGTCAACAAAACCTTGATACGCGAGTACGAGCTGCTGCTGGGGAGTCGGGTGTGTGGGCACCTGGTGCTGCCCACTGATGGGAGGGAGAGCTGGGCTGTTCTCAGGCACGGCGGCCAGAACCTCCGGTACAGGTCTCACTCTGTAAGCAAAGGACCTGTGGGAATGCTGACAGCAGGGCAGCTCAAGCAAGGGATGCTGAAGAGCTGTTCAGGCTGCCATCCCGAAGAAGCAGGATTGTTTGCAAGCCAGACATTTTCTGCCACTGTTACAGATGAAAGTCCCTCTCCCTCCTCCCACCACTGAACAAACAGGTTTTCCCACAGCAGACCTGGACAGGCAGTCCGCAAGACAAGAATTCACCGGGGAAAACTGAAACCCAGCCCGTACCATCGGAGACCGACCTGAGGCCAGATGGTGGCCAGCTCAGGAAAACACTGGACACCTGCAGTAGGCTCCGGAACAAGGTCTGGGGGAGGGAGCCCTACAGTCTAGTCATGTCCTAAGCCAGCTTAGGTAACACCATCGTCAGCCAACTACCCAGCAGGGCTTACCATCAACCCGGGACCTAGGTCTCCCCTGGAGACAGAATTCCTGGAGAGCTGGCAGGCTAGGGGCCCAGGGGCCTGGGAAATTTCACACAATCCATATGCTGTGGGGTGAGAGCACCTGCCAGTGCACCAGCAGATCAATCCCCTCCCCTCTAGGAGGTCAGCACTGTGGACCCGCAGCTCCTCCACCTTCTTTCACCCTCAGGAAATGCGAGGAATTTGCAGAGCAAGTCATGGGTATGAGGACATCATTCCCACATCACAGCCAGGGTACCTCAAAACATTCACTTGACCCAAAACAGCAAGCAATCCCACTCGTGCCTTGAACTGAATTTCAAGGCAGGGAGGGAGCACCAAACTGCTGATGGGCTACCAAACCCAGAGCTGGAAGCACAGCCTGCAGACTAGTCAAATGCATGTTGTTTATAAACTCCCAGCCTGCTGACCCCAGCGCACCAGTCAAACTGCACGAGGCTGCAGGAGAGCACCAGCACTCCTGCAGGAGGACAAGAAGCACAGTGGTGTGAAACGGAGAAGCCCAGTGAAAAATAAAATGAAAAATGCCTACCTTGGTACCAACTGCTATATCTGGGACAATGCTGTAGAGAGAAAAAGAGAACGTTAGCAGATACGCATGTGGCAACTTCAGCAGGCAGGAGAGGCAGGGGCGGCCTATACCAGGAGCCGCGAAGCCTGGGAACCAGGTGTGCAGGAGCTCCCGTCCCCCAGAGCCCTAACTAGAGAGCTTGGGACAGGGAAGGGGCCACCCAACCTTCATCCCTATCTGAAAAGGAACTTTCACTGTCCTGCTCCTCACATACTGCAGGCTGCCAGGCACTACCCCCATGCGCTCCTCTGAGTCAAAGAGAGAGACACTCCCTTCAAAGCCAGTGTAAGTACTGTTTGCTAAAATCTGCACATGCCCAGGGAACAGTCTTCGAGAAGCCAGAAGAGCAGAAAGAAGGCAAACACGGGTTCCCAGGTTGGGGTGTGGGGTATGTGTGTATGTGTGTATGTGTGTGCGCGCACAGGAGACACCCAGGTTTGAAGAATGGGAGACTCTGGCCAAGGAAGGGGCAGTTGAGATGATCAGATAAAACTAGCACAATTAAGCAAGCCAGCCAGTTACTCATCAACCCTACTTGGTGACTGGACTTTCTCCTCCCCCTCACCCAGCTCAGGAAGCAGGGTAGGGAGAGGACACGGCTGCCCCAGGTTCTGCAGCCCCTCAGCCTTGACCACAACTCACTCTCACTGCAGAGTATTACGTCTCCAAGGCCCCACTGTGGCAGCCATGAACTGCCGAGGCCCTACATGACTCAGGGAACATTTATCCAGGAAGGGAACTTAGTAGCACTCCGCCCCCCAGCCCGGTCACCTGGTCACCAAGGTCTGGTGGTTCTGTGATCAGTCTCCCATGCTGTCACAGGACCAGGGCGGAGGGGCTCCAGCAGCTTCCACTCTATTCTCAGAGCGCTTCTGCTTCTGCAGGCTCACAGCTCCAAAACCCAGGACTGGACCCAGAAGCACGGCGCCCAGTTCTGTCCCTAGTCCTTGCCAATTCTGACCCAGCCTAACCAGTATCTCTGTAACGGGCTCTGCTTCATCGTTACCAGAAAAAAAAAAAAAAAGTTTTAGGCCAGAATCAACATTCTTTAAAGCTTACTGAGCCGAGGGAAAACTCGGAAAAAAGAATGAAAAGCACGCAGTTCCTCTACCTCTAATCCAGAGACTTCCCTTCCTACTCCCAAGGAGAGCCTCAAACACAGGAAGTGATTTACATAAAATGGCCTTTCTTTAAAGGGTTTCAGAGCTTCCACAGGCTGGCCAAACAGAAACTGCTCCCCGAAGGCTAGGCCAGGCTGCCTTAGAAACAACCAAGGCCATCAACAAAAATCCCCACCCCAGACCACATCTAGGGGACTCAACATTCCTGAACAAAGTCAGTTAAGGAGAAGACAAACCGGGAGCACTTGGCTGGCAGTCTAGAAAACACGTCCGTGCAGACGTCCCCAGCGGCTGACGAAGTACCCGCTTCTTTTCACCCTGGGCTAAAAAGCTTAGGAAGGTGGGGGCATGATCTCCGGGGCGGGCGCCCTATTCAAGTCAAACCGACAGGCAGACCAGGCAAACATCGTGTTCCTCCTCCGGCAGCAACTGCTCTCAAAGGCCGGACTTTTACTCGGCCCAGCACCTCTCGTTTCCAACCTGGAGCACCAGGGCACGCGCCCCTCCGGGCACGCCAACCACACCCCCGGGGCCACGAGGGGGGGAGGGGGTAGGAAGAGCTTTTTCAAAGCTCCACATCAAAAAAGATCAACAGGCACTAGGCTTCCAAACCGCCAAACCCGCATTCTTAAGACCGATCACCTCCTTCCCCAACGGGAAAAGCGAAACAAAAAGGCCCAACGCGCCAGATGAGAAAGCGCTGTTTGAAGCTGGTTTCGCTTTCCCGCGGGGCGGAGCGCGCCCACCGCCGTCGGGCCGGCAGCCCCGGACCCGCGCGAGGCTACAATGTCGCCTCCGGGTGCAACAGACGCAGCGGGGCCGGGGCCCGGCCCGCCCGCGCCGCCCCAGCACCCGCGCCCCGGCAGGGCGCGCTCGGCCGGGAAGCCCGGCGGCAGCCCCGCCCGCGCCCGGGAACAAAGCGGCCTCCGACCCCTCCCAGCCCGGGGGGTGGCGGCGAGGCGCGGGCCGGCCTTTGTGGGCCGCGCGGGCGGGGGCGCAGGAGGGCGGCGGCTGGCGGCCGCGCCCGGGCCGCGGCAGGCGGGGGAGGCCGGGGCAGAGTCCGCGCGGCGGGAAAGGCCGCGCACGCGCACCGGCCCGCGCGCCAAGGGTTGCGCACGCGCGCGCGGGGCCCCGGCGGGGCGCGCCGAGCCTCCCCGGCAGCCGGAAGGACCACGCGGGGCGAGCGAACGACGGCGCGTGCGCGGGGCCCCGACGGAAAGCGGGACGGACGGCGCAGCCGCTGCGTGCGCTCGGGCCCCGGGCGCGCGGAGGCCACGGCGGCGGGGCGGCGGGCCGCGCTCGGGCCGCCTAGGCCCCGGGAGGCGCGCCGCCCACGGCACAGGGCCCTGCGGCGCCGGGGCCCGGAGCAGAGCGGCGAGGGGGTCGGCGCCCCCGGGGAGCGTGGGTGGCGGGAGGGGATGGACTGGAGTGTGGAGAGGGCGGTGGGAAGCGCCGCCAGACGCGACTCACCCGTCCATTGCACACAGAGGAGACCCGCTGGGGACGGAGTGGAGGCGCCGGAATAGCAGAAACCGACCCAACGGCTCCGAGTTATAGACTCACAAAATGGCGGAGACGCCCGAACACGTCCCCCGCGCGCTCTTCCCATTGGCTCCCGCCGCGGAGGGGGGCGGGGCGAGCGCTGCGGGACTTCAGCAGCGCCTACCAATGGCTAGGAGGCCGCTCGGGGTGGGGCCAAGAGGAACGGCAGGCAGCCACTGGAGGAGGTGGCAGTCCGTCAAGGTTCAAGGCGGAAAGGGCCCTCGGAGGCTGGGGAGGGGAGAAGTGGTGGGGCCATGTGATGGCGCCTGGGCCAGTGAGCGAGTTGCCCTCCTGAGTGGGACTTTGCGGGAGACGCCATCTTGAGAGTGGGTACGTGGCGAGTCAGGCGGCGGGAAGAGTGATTCCCCCCAGGCTGCCTCCATCTTGCAAACGGGCAGGGGCCGTCCATCTCGGGCGTGAGGTCAAAGGGGGGGCGCGCCGCCATCTTGGAGGAGGGCAGGGAACCTACGAGATTCCATCTTGCTTCTGGGCACGTGGCTGAAAAGTCTGATTCAAACCGAGACATGATTCCTGGGTTAGTGCGAGGGGTGGTGGCGGCAATGGAGGGCCTTCCAGACGCGCCGGAGCGCCAGCCCCTGCCGGCCACCGGGCCGGTGGGCGCTCTGTGGGCAGGGATCGCTTCCGCCCCTGCTGTATTCGCCCCAGAGCAGCGAAGTCTGCCTGCGGTTCTCTCCTGGCCGTGGGGCTGGGGAAACGGAGGCCCAGGAGCTCGGCGAGCTGCCCGCCTCCCGCCCTACACACTGGGAAACTGAGGCCCTGGGGCGCATAGAGCAGAATCCCGCCGTCACAGAACTTTCGAACCCGGGGTACATGGCCATCTCAGCTACAAAACACCTTACCATATCCCCAAAAACACTGATTCCAGGGAGAGTTGAATAGTTCATGGGTGACAGGGGCGCCCATCGGAGAAGCGACAGGAAACCGAGGCTAGTTGGGCGGGAAGACTGTCCAGGCTGCCAGAGGGAATCAGAGCGGCCAGAGCCAGGGAGGCTGCTCGGGTTGGGCTTGGTGCCTGGTGCGGTTCTGTTACAAGTAGATGCTGAATAAATAGAAGAAATTGTTGTGATTATTGTTTGCTATACAGCCATGCTAAAAGGGAATTTTTAATTGGCTCGAGGATATAGGAGGAGAAGTGACATCGTTTACCTAAAGCAAGCAGAGGCCAGTGCAGCGCACCCACAGCCTGCTCAGCTTGGTTTTACTTTGCAACTTTTACTACTACAATGGAGTCCTGGCAACTGTATCAGTTTCAGGGCCACGGGGCCTAGATGCAGACCCTGTTTTGAGCGCTCCAGGATTAGGGCAGTGCAGATTTCTACAGAGCCTGCCTCCCTCCCATCTATCCTTTGGCCCTGACTCTCAGGCCTAAGACCATCTGAAGACCCAAACAGCTTATCAGGAATGTCCGGGTGGATTTAGAAGAATTCCTAACATATTCTGGTCAGGATGCTCACCCTCCCTCTGGGCTGGGGCCCACCAAGGTGGTTGCTCATCTTGGCTGGATGGTGACTTTTGCCAGGGTACAGGCAGCCTTGACAGTGTGGTGGTGGTATTGGGGTTGGGGGGGCACAAGGGAGAGTCACACGAATGCCCGGGGGGGGGGCAGGGAGAGGAGGTGGAGACTACCACCAGTCTACAGAATCCAATAGTCTTAAAACCCACTTCAGGCTTCCCTGGTGGCGCAGGGTTAAAGTCTCAGCACTATCAAGCTATCGCCAGCCACAGCGGCACAGGTTCGATCCCTGGCCAGGGAGGTGACCCACATGGCGCAGCAGGCCTCTCTTGTCTTGCCCGCTGCTCCCCTCAGCAGTGTTTCAGTCAGTCTGCCTGTTCTGCATCCCACTCTGTCTCTGGTGAATCCTCTCATTCCCCCACATCTTTGGCCTGCACCCCAGTTCTTATATGCATAATAAAATAAATCTTTAAAAAACAACCGACTTATGACTGCGGCCAGTCATGCTCGAACTAAAAAGTCATGTCTACCTTACAGCTCAGCAGAGCCCTCACCATAGGCCATCTGTCTGGTTTCTCAGCCATTACACGGCTGTTCCCATCTGGAAGGTTCTTCTCTAAACCTACTGGACTCCCTTCTCCCACCTCTGCCTCAGAGCCTTTCCACAAAGGTCCCCCTCTCACAACTGCCTTCCAGGATATCTCCTGGTAACTTAATGTCTGTCATTTACCCCATCCTACTTGGTATAAATTTGTGGTCAGGCCAGTGTTAGAACACAAAGCACGGTATCCAAGAGTCCACAGACAGGTGACCTCAGCTGACATGAAATAATATTCTGTCTCAGTCTTGCTGGACACTGAGGTCTCCATGGTGAAGAGGCTGGAGCCAGCCTCTTCCCTATCAGAATTCATGCTGATAATCACCCTTAAAAGTGCTGGGAGGTATAAGACAACACAATGTATCCACTTCTGGAGACCAGAAGTCTGAAATCAAGATGTTGCAGGCCATGCTCCCTCCAGAGTTTCCAGGAGAGGGTTGTAACCTCCTCTTTGGCTTCTAAGGCTCCAGGCATCCTTGGCCTGTGTCCACATCACCCCAATCACCACTCTGCCTCTGTCTTCACATGGCTGTCTTTTCCCTAATTCTGTTGCTCCTCGGCATGTCTTTTACATGGACACTTGTCCTTGATTTAGGCCCATCAAGATAATTCAGGATGATCTCATCTTAAAATCCTAATCACATCTGCAAAGACCCATTTTCCAAATAAGGTCATGATCAAAGCTTTGGGGATTAGGGCTTCTAGAGGGTATGACTTGGGGGCCACCAGCCAACTCACTAAACCATCTAAAGCTTGGACCCAGTGACCAAAGCCTCTGGGCAGAGCCTTCCTCGGGGTAGCAGGGACCTTGTCCAGGGTAGCCCCCCAGACCTTGGCGGCCACCTGGAGGGGGCTTGGTTACCAAGGGTTCCAGCATTTGCAAGTTCAGTCCATGCACTGGGCTGGTTTAGGAGCAGGCCTTACTCTCCAGTCTTTCTCAGCTTTCTCCCTTCCCAGCCTTGCCAGCTGTTGCCCTCATTAATGATTTAGGGTGAACATGGACCTTTGTTTACCTTGCTTTTGTCTGAGAATTTTGAAAATGATACTCTGGAGCGGGAAAGGAGGTGGGTGCATGCCAGGCTCAGTTGAGTGGGATATGGGTCTGCATCCCAGGCCCTGTGCAGGGAGAGGTGCCTGCCTTAGTTTACCCCTTTGTCTAGAGGAAAGGGCACGGCTAAGCCAGCCCTACCTTGCCAGAGATCATTCCAGCAGATTTCAAAATAAGTAGCTTAATAGTTTTAGAACGTTTATTCATGACTTTGTTTATTCATTGACTTGATTACAAAGGCCTAGGGGGTGAGGGGAGGCCCCAGGCAAGTTGTGGAGCAACCTGCCTTCCTCTGAGCCTCTCCAGCACATTTTTCAGATTTCTATTGTACTGAGGCAGGAGGGGTTCAAAGCGGTTACCCCTACTCCTAGAAGCTGGAACCCCCTACAGCCTCCCCCAAACCGGAGACCTGGAGGAACACAGGATCAGAGCTGAGATGCCTTCCTTTGGCCTGAGAATTCCCTCCTGTCCTATCCAGCTGCTCTCCAGCCTCAAGGTTCCCGGTGTGTCCAGGAGACTCAGAGCTGGTCTTCACCCCTACTGGGCCCTGCCCAGCCCCTAGAGAGAT